TAATCGAAATATTCCAAAAATGATAATGTAAAAGCTTGAAAAAATTCGGTCACACTATTATTATATACGTCTTTTAAAATATAAAGGTATTGTCCCAGTGGCGTATTTAGGATTTTGTCATGGGGGGGGATATGATTTTATCCAGTACTTATCAACTCGAGCCCCACACCTCACCCCCCTAACTTTAAATACTTAAATATAAAACTACAATTTTACTACAATTTTTTTTTATTTTTATTTTACAAAACAAAGTCTAGTTTTCTAGATGTTTTGGACAATTGAAGGGCTCTGTGCAATAACCAGACAGCTCCGTTTTATCATTTTTTTCAGGAAGCACATATTTAATGTTTAATATATATTTAAGTGAAGAATAATAAAAAGAAAAATTATTTTATATACTTAAAATAGTGATAAAAACTGTGGTACCCTTAATTAAGTTGATACATGAATATTTTTTACACTTTTAGCCACAAATAAGAAATTTTTCTTGGAGTTGTCTTGTTTATTGCTCGGAGTTATTAAATCTTTTTTTTTTATTTTTTTTATTATGTAAAAATCTTACTAAGAATTAGTTTTTTTATTTAACTGAGTTAATAATTATCATGTAATTATACTATCAAACAGCATACTTGAGTTTTAAGAAAAAAAAACTAAACCTGTACATGATTTTAAAAATAAACAAAAAAATAGTTATAATTTCTGGACAATAAACAAGATAACTCCAAAAATGATTTATTGTTTTTAGTTTTAACTCTGATAAATATACAAATAAATTTATTAAAATAAGCTTAGTAAGTGTATAGAAGTCATAAGTTTTTTCACTAATAATATTTAGCTATATATAGTTTAAATATATTACTTTATGAATTTTGTTTATTCTTCAGTAATATTTCTACTTTAACCACTTAGTATTATGTTAACTGAAAAATTAAATTGTTATTCATTTAATTTTACATAAAAACTGGCTATCATACCTTAAAGATAGCGATAGGTAATAATATTAGTCATAGTAGAATGTAAACACATTTAACTACATTATAAATGATATGAACATGGTAAAAGATAGTAAAATAAAAATATTAGTAACATGGATATTTTATTTATCAGCTTGATTTTATCAGTCATTACATATAATATCTTACAACAAATAAAATAATAAAAACCAATGAAATATTTATAACAAAACTATTAATTAACTTGATTTTTTATCAATCATAGTTAAACAGTAAAATATTTGAAACAAAACTAATGATCTCCTTGATTCTTAAATTTTATAATAAAAATAATAAATAATATCACTCATAATAATTCAAATTTGAAATCTTAAACAAAATTATACTTCAAAACAATAAAATTAATAAAACAAAACTAATAATCTCCTCGATTCTTAAATTTTATAATAAAAATAATAAATAATATCACTCATAATAATTCAAATTTGAAATCTTAAACAAAATTATACTTCAAAACAATAAAATTAATAAAACAAAACTAATAATCATTTTGATTTCTTAATATTCTAAAATATATTTTCTTTAATATTAATATTAAAACTGAGTAACAATTTTTAATACCTAGTCATCTTTATCATTGGATATAGTACCATTGTTATCTTGATTAGAACTGGTTTCTTCAACTAAAGATCTATAGAACCAAATGTATTCAGGTGGAACATACTTTGATGCTAGGCATTGCACATCAACAAACTTGGCAGATTTAATTTCTAATGATCCATTATATAACAATTTAGGAATAGTTGCACATAAAGATTGTATATTATTCTCTACTCCTTTTTTTTGTCAAGGATAAATTTTTCTTTACCAGTAGAATGTCCAGAAATACTACAAAATAAGCCAGCAGCTGCTCGCGCGCTCTCCTCAGTCCTCACTCTTTCGACGGCTCCCGGACTATCGTCTAATTTAGATTTAAAAAAAAAAAAAAAAAACTCAACTCAAGCCTTGGGGGGGGATCAAACCCAATGATCCCCCCCCGTAAATACGCCACTGTATTGTCCATACAGTTCGGCATAATATAATCATCAAATATTATTACCTACTTTATCTAGTTATGTAGGTACATATAAATTAACCAACAGGCAAATAGGCCTTCCTAAACCAAAGTCTAAAACATGTATAAACAAGAAAGAGTAAAACATTTCGAGTACGATCTATCGACTACCTACTATATAACCCAATACCAACTATTGAAAATTATCACTTTCCAATTTAATTAGGTACAACTGTACAAGTAATTGATGCATCCAGTGTACAGTTTTGGTGTTTTTCGTATGCATATAATTAATTTTCATGATGTTGATATGTATTTGCATTAAATACTGTAAATTACTTTAGAAAAGACGCCAAACATCCACACCACCCACTATCCACGAAAATGGTTTTGACAAACTTACGAGTTCTTGATTATATAATAACCCATATTTTTAACTTCTTTAATAAGCAATTCTGTGTTAGTAGCTGACATTTTTAAAACCTTTAAAAGATCCAAATACACTAAAATTCTAACCGTTCTGTATGACAGAAGATTAGTGACTAACCAAAAGTCTGAAAGTACAATGTATACCTACCAACGAATTCTATTTTAAATTTTGATCTGTTCTTTTTCCATGAACTTTATATTTTTGCTCTTCCAAAAATCACTTCATTAAATTTCCTATAAGTGTAAAAAATAAGAATACTATAGGGATAAGAACTGTAGGTACTCATACAGTGTTTCGTAGAAACTGACAAATGTACCTACCTAGTATATAATTTCTTAAATTCACTAATATGAATTACAATGAAATTACGTATTTTGTATACATTGCTAAAAGTGGGTACTATACGTTAATCAAAATGCTTTTACTTAAAGCTAAATTAAAAAGTAATTATATAACTGAGTTAAGTTCATATTTTTTCAGGTGTTAACTTTAAACTTAAGAGTGAAATATAATGTTTATTAAATCTTAAATTATAGCTTTCTAAAATATGTTGACTTGACTTAACTTAACTAACTAAAGGAAATTTTTGCCAACATTTGCAGAATGGGAGTATAGGAGTATATTTGATAAAAAAAACTTATTATTAATATTAATTATTATGATATACCTACTGTACTTTTAATACTTAATTTAAATATTAATAATATAATTATATTACCTTAAGGTAGTACGTATAACATATAGCACTTAATGCCATAATGGTAATATAGTTGTACAGCTAAACAGCTAAACAGCTTCATATATTATGTACGTCATAATTATTACAAAATAGATAAACATTATTGCTATCATTATCGTTATTTACATTATCGTGCATGCAAAGTTAAAAAATATCGGAGCACGGTACGATATTTTTTACCGTACCGGCGATTTATCGCAGCAATGTGCGCATCTACATTTAATTGGTTGCATCCAAAAACCGCACACTTTTGATTTTGACCCTAAAAAGGTCGATAGCCAAAAACCGCACAGCTTATCGGTCATTGTATAACAAATTACCGTACATTTATAGTGGGTTAAAACCGCACACTATTTTTAGTGAAAATAGTGAAAAGATAAGATTATAAGATATGTATATTATTCAATAATCAAGTATTTAGTTGTCACTCGTTATTAGTCGGTCTCGATTCGGTTAGTGTACCTACGTCTATAATTTAGTATTAAAACGTTAATATCTTAAATTTTTATAATGGATTTTAAAATTATTGAAAGTAACAAAGGGGGCAAGTGCTTATTATATATATTTATTTTTAGGAGCATTTGTTTCAAATTTGGGAAGAATTTTTAAGTGACGGAGATCGTATAAAGTTTTTAAAAAACGTCGGCAGTCGGTTTCAGCCAATCAAACTTTGAAAGTTTTAAATTTTTTTTAAATTAATATTTTAAATTTTAGAAATACTTATACATTTTTAGTTTTACATTTTTTTTTTAATATTTTAAATTATTGAATAATTACATTTTTAAGTTGACATTTTTTTAAAATTAATATTTAAAATTTTTAAATATATACATTTTTTTTTTGATGAACTATGAGAATAATGAGAACAAATAATTAATTATACATATACATATGCGTTTTTTGTTTATCGAACTTTTTGGGGTCAAAATCATAACTGTGCGGTTTTTGGACACGACAATTTTTAAAATTGTGCGGTTTTAACCTATTAAATCTGTGCGGTTTTAACCTACCAAAAGTGTGCGGTTTTGTCCTGTATTTTATCAAAAGTGTGCGGTTTTTGGAGTCAACGATTTAATTATACATTCGTTTAGTTTTAAACTTTACCGCACAAAGATTATCGGCGCTCCTACCGTTCACCGATCCTATAATATCGTAACAATGTGGTTTGCCTCATATAAAACTATGAGCTCAATTTTATCGCTACCGTTACCGTATCGTTACCGTACCGTCTACCGCAGCAGTGTGTGAGTAGGTACCTTTACGGAAACAGTATTACCTATACCTATTTACGGTAGTCGGTAACATTACCAAGTGTTCACAATACATAGAGAAGATCTATTTCTTAGTGTTTTGTTTTTGTTTTTTAGTTACCTTCTGTGTATTGTGAAAATTTGGTGAATATTCTTTAGGTAAATAATATGTACGTACAGGGCCGGCGCTAGCAAATATTGATGGGGGGGGGGGGGTATAAATATACGAATTTGCCGACTACATTCATAAATATGAACCACAAGTGTTGTCTTGGTCGACTGTCTTACACGCAAATAACATGGCAAATTTTTGCGTTCAAAATAATCCATTTTATTATTTAATTTAATTAAATTATTGATCAATTTACTCTAATTTTAAAAATAATAGATACTAGAGTGAAATACATACTAAACGCAAAATTTGCAATATAACGCGTGTGTAAAAGAGAGTCAATAATTGGTGTCTTAATAATTTATTGGATATTAACTAAGTTAAACAATAGAATACAAATTATAATATCATATTATATAAAAATAAAACAACTTCAACATTATGAATAGGTAATTGAATAAATTAAATTTTAATCCTTCTTTCCTTTAATAGTGACCATGATTTCACTGAACTTTTTAAGTCTATACAATCCAAAATATCTTTGTTACTATAAAGTAACATTAAATGTTGGAGACGATCTGCTCCCATAATCGATCGTAAATAGTTTTTAACGATTTTCAGTTTACTGAAAGCGCGTTCGTTTGAAGCAGTACTTACGGGAGCTGTAAGTCCTAGCCTGCATAGCTTGTTTGCAGTTGGCAAACAAGTTTTACAATCTTCAGATAATTCAAATATTTTTGTCAAGCTATCCAATTTTTTCACGTTACACTGGTGATCTAAAACTTTCAATTTGGCAATCACTCCATCATAGTCATTCATTTTAAAATCTTTGCATCCCGGTGGAAATAGTTCGATTACTTTTTTTACATTTTCTGTTGAACAAATTTGTTTCCATGGCATTTTAAACAAAGTAATCATTGGTTCAAATGTCACCAACGATTTTCTGGGGCTCCAACATGCTTCACTAAAACTCTTTTACCCTCAAGTTGTTTAGTTTCATGTTTTTTTCTATAATCATCACCAAATATACTTCCCCATGCCAAACATTCTAATTTCGTTCGTTTTCTTTTTATCGTATTTGTACAATTCATAACGAACAAATTAATAAAACACAAACGAATAAATAAACTGTGTTAAGTTAACTCGGTATAACACTCTCACAGTCGTCACAGAAGTACAGAATACTAGAATAGCAATAGGCAATTGTCGACAATCTTTATTATTTACTATCAATTATAATATATTGTAGCAGACAGCGGTGAAGTACGATCGTCGATCACAACAATAATCATTAAATCAAATCAAATATCTAAGACTAAGATAACGACGTATATTCCGACTACGGCTATAAATACAATAATTGCCCTTAGATTCGGGAATTGTAGCCGTAGCCGTCCACGAAAAATGTTTTTCTAATACCAATACTTGCGGCTAGCGCAATCTAGTTCTATAGTTCAAATTTTTGCCGACTATTTAATTTTATTTAGCGTATGGCTATATATATGCCGACTATATAAATGGGTTATTCGTTGGGGGGGGGGGGTATTGCACCCCCCCCCCCCCCTAACGCCGGGCCTGTGTACGTACACACTTGTAAGTTTGTCAAGCCTGAAACCGTTTTTTTGGTAATCTCATATTATGAGGCAACTAACATTGTTCGTGCTGAAATATTTTGAATTAATATTTAAGTATATATTGTATAAGATTTAAAACTGCAATTTATTCTTCTCAAAGTTTCATTAAACTTACTTATATTTATTCCCTTATCAGTAGTTTGTGTGTGGTTACAACTAATCGCTATATGTTTATAATATTATAATATATTATATTAGTAGGTACCCATAGGCGTGCACAGAGTTTAAGTTCGGGGCGTGCCCGTGGAAAATTTGAATTATACATTATACACACATAGACAGAGTATAGTATAGATATTATAAAAAAAAAATAGAGCAGAAACAAGTCACATTTTTTTATTATAACTTATTTATTAATTATTATTGGTTACTGGTTTTTAGTTAGTATATAATATTTACAGATTCATACGTCTATTTTCTAAGCCTCTAAGGTATTGAACTCATCGATGACAGAATCCAAGTTTATCCCACTTGTCAACTCTTGTTCGGTGAATAGTAACAGTAACGAATCTAATCGTTCCTGTTTCATCGTACTCCTAAGTTTTGATTTTACAATTGTCATTTTGGAAAAGACTCGTTCGCATGTACAACTTGTGACTGGGATAATAGTAAATAATTGTAAGGTTTTATAAAAACAACCGTAGGTAGAAATACTATTGTTAGTTTTCAGCCAATCAAGCCACAAATAAATGGACTCACTAGATGTAGCATTAGGTTTATCAGATTTTGGCAAATGTTTTAAAATTTTTATTTCAGTTTTTAGACCTGTACTTGATGTATATGAGAACTTAGCCAAAACATCAATCATTTCAGGTTTTATTTCCATGTGTAGCAGACTAGCAATAGCTTCAATTAAGCTTAAAGTTTCTTGATTGAATCTTGAATCCATTGCCGATAATAAATCACCAAGTAGTTCATAATAACCTGATATCTTCATTTCATCTAATTTATTTAAAAAAAAAATGAGATTTAGATTTGTTATCAATTTGAGTCGATACTTTTCTACGAATAACGTCTGGAACAATTATTCTATGTTTTTTACATAAAGCAACTGCTTGTTCAAAAATATTTTCAAATTCTTTGTTTTCATTTCTCATACTTTAAAGATTTAATGTTAAAGACCGTACATTATCAATTTCCAACAAAAGATTTAGTTTTAGTGATTGAAGTACTGAGCTAACTTTTAAAATAAGATTTAACATTGGATGTATCATAAACATGCCAAAAATGAACTCAAATCTTTTTTATGTATTGTTGTCATGGATGAGGATGACTTGGTGATACCCCAGTTCTCCTGTACTGATAAGCATGTTTGAGACATAGGGCGCTTCGGCCCTTGAAAAATCTCGGGGAGTGCCTGGGCACGCCCGGCACGCCCTGTGCGCACGCCTATGTAGGTACCTATTTATACTACCTATTAATTAATATAATTAATTTTGGGCAATGTTGATATTATAATTCTATCAACTGGTTATTATTAGTAGTAAATTAGTGTGACAACTAATTTAAGCTATACTCAGCTGGTAATGTTAGAATAAACGCAAGATGGCATGTCAAAATATATTGAGAAATAATCAAAAAGTACTACATAAAATCGGAACAATAACTCAGTGGCGTAATTTCAGTTTTCAATAGAGGGGGGCAAAGATTTTGAGCGGCCCGAATAGGGAAAAAAAAACCACTCGCTTCGCTCGTTATGTTATCTACATTTTTTTATGATACCCTTTTTATTAACTGGGTAGCCGGGTAGGTAATATCATTTTTAAATAGAAGTTCTGAAGATGGCAGATATTTTATAAAAACAATTATACACCTATATATCAATTAAAAGTCTACAAACTATTATGGCAATATTTATTGATAAACAAAAATATTAGTAGCTCATTAAAGGATATCTTCGTTTTTTTTTATTTTTGAAAATATATCAACTGCATCATCTATAAATCAATTTTACCTGCTTCATCACTATACTCATCACTATCGCCTATACTCTATAGCAGGGGTCTCCAAACTTTTTTATTCAAGGGCCACAAAAAAAATCAAATGCTCTTAGCGGGCTAAATTTTTAACTTTATGATAATATAGGTACCTATATAAATAATATATTTACTTTATATTTTTGTATAGAATATTGTTTACTTTACAATATACTTAAATAAAAATAAATATGTATAAATATAATATAATATAAATACATTTTTTAAATAATTTTTTTATCTATATTTACCTATGCGTCCTATGCGGGCCACGGGCCGGTTAAAACTTGTACGCGGGCCACATCCGGCCCGCGGGCCGTAGTTTGGAGACCCCTGCTCTATAGGTATATACGATATATTTACAAATTAATATATTATTTTAAATTATAATATTTATTTTTTTATTACTGTTTCAAGTTTCGTCTTTTTATTAAACATACCTATCAGAAATTGTTTTCGATTCTTGGGCGGTTTGCGGTAATTTTATATTTTTAGCCGCACCACCCATTTTTTTTTTTAAGTCATATTTTGCTCAAATTGAAAGAATAATGTAAACACTCGTCACGAAAAAAATTAATTTTAATTTAGGTGGGATAAGGTACACCGTGCACAACTAAATTAACACAATACGCAGAATAGTTGAATAGTTTACCATACACGACTGTCGCAACTCGTAAGTTAACTGAAGTCCGGGAGCGATGGACAATGATAATTAACAAGAGTGGCAATCGGTTGTTGTTTTTAGAATTTGTATTCATTTTAGATTTTAGAAATTAAATTATACGGGATTACGATAATAATAATTATTATTGTTATACACTCACATAAACAAACATGCATAAATGCATACCTACATACAATGTGTACGTCCGCTCATACGCATAAATATAAACGTATTCCAACTATCAATAATTATAGTAAAAATGTATCATTGTGCCAATCATTTCTTAGTACGTAGTATAATATTTTCTGAAAATATTATATAAAATAAGCATGTTTTTGTGCTGATAAAATATAATAATGGTAAAAGGGCAACAACTGGGCACCGGCCCATAGGGCCTCTTTTAAAATCAGACTGGGGAAAATGCCCACCTTCCACCCCCCTAAATGACGCCACTGCAATAACTTATTTTGTGTATTACATAAAACTGGCAACTGTTAATACGTTAATATAAAAATAAACAATCATGTGTAAGCAATTATACACAATGTATTATTTAGTAAAATATTCTCACAATAAGCTCATTATATGTTAAATAGCTTAATATTAAGACTTATAAAAGTACTATTAACGTACCATGTAGTAGTTACGACCGTATGGGAAAAATATTGTGTTTATTTATATTTCTGGGCTTTTTTTTCCATGGGTCAAAAAACATAAGTCTTAGGTATATATTATATACTATAATGTATACAAAAATTACACAACTATATAAATAATAATATAATAGGTTAATACAAAACAGGTGGTATAGTATAATATATTTAGATAACAGTCAACATTTTACTATGTTGTATGTATAATGTATGTACCTAATAGACTTTTGTTTTTTGACTTATAACTTATAACACAAAATATCATGACGTATACATAATATTGAATTCATATTTTTATTTTCATTATAATATATTATTATATTTTGTCATAGTAGACATGGTAATTACTAACTAGAAGTATAGTATACATGTGTACACATTTATATTTATATTTCTGGGCTTTTTTTCCGCCTACCATTATATTAGTTCAGTGGTGCAGGTCAAATGATTTTGTCATGGGGATGGGAGCTGATTTTGTATCATACATTAGGTATTTGATCATAAAAAATATAATTCATGTTTACCCTTTTATATATTTATGTATAAGCTATAGTAAATATTGTAAAAAATGTCCATGGGCGGCATCGTCTTCTAATCTAGTCCTCCCCCGACCCTTTGCCCACCACTGCATTAGTCTATTACATATTTATATAATATACTATAGTATAATACGCCAATAGTATACAATAAAACATTTAAGTACACTTAGCTTAACTTCTAAATTCACGTCGATCCATTAGATATCAAATAGGTAGCATTGGACAAATAAATTTGAAACCGTACCTTCCAATGAAGCATATGGGTATTGTGTGTGTGACTTATACACACTTACAGGTGTGCGACTCGGGACAAGTCGACAAGATGATAACATTCCACCACTCCTCTTACATTTTTCCTCTCAAAATGTTCAATGTATTGGGAAAAGCAAGTTTTCAAAGAACTTCCCGTGCACACTGATATAATATGTATTAAATGTTACGATACCCGTTTAAAAAAAACATTGATTTGTAGCCTTTCAAATTTTTAATACTGTAGAATATATAAATATCTTATTATAGAAGTATGAGTGTGCATAAATATATATAATATAGGTACTATAAAATATGATTAATTTATCGAATAAGCCCTCATGACTCGGTGATTATTAGAAAACTAAACTTTTTTGGACAAGCGTTAAAATAAATGTCGAAAGGAGTTGTATACTTTATATAAACCTGACACCCACATACTTTATACGGGTTACACTACTACTACACTAGCTATAACTTATTAGTTGGACAACACCCCTATCATTAAAACTGTCATTAAAATTTTTGGTTCTTGGGTAGGTATTATATTATAATATATTAATATTATAAAACCGCAACAGCGTAAATCTATTACATAGGGATAGGACATTAAAAATATGATAGACACACCATTTAAAATACAATCTATTAATAGGAACAATTGCACCTAATATAATTAAATTAATATTCGTATTAAATTAATTCTTGACTCTGGTCACTATCAACATAGATTCTGCAGAGCCGAGCTCAAGACTGTACGCCTCTAAGTACCTATAGTATGCTTATTGCTTATGAGTTATCCATTTACCTACTATTATCTAGTAATTATATTAATATACTATAATGTATAAATTGCAATTTGTTAAAAAAAAAATTAATAATTTATAACTGATTTTTTTAGGTTAATACCACCAGAATTTTGTTGTGATTTATATAATATATTTACTAATTTTTATAATATTAATGGCATGATTTCTTTTCGTGTCCAGATTGAGTTGGTAAACTAGGTAGGTACACCACTTGGAATAATGGTGTTATTACAATATATTTTAATTTATGTGAAAGTGTAAGTAGGTAGGTGCTTATGAAATGTGCAATAATTATATTTTACTTTTTAAATCAATTAAAATACAAATATTAATTTGTTCATTTATAGTTGACATGCACACAACAATGTATAGAGTCCAAAATATAAAATATTATGAATTAAATAAATTATTTTTAAACATAATAAAAGTAGGTACTTACCTAATATTTTATTATGTATGTGACTTTAGGTGATAAATCATAAACATTTTGAACTTGGTAAAAATGTGACGGATTATTTCTAGAACCTATGTGAAGTTCAACGACTCCCAATAACACACTAAAATAACACACACGTTTAACCTAGTTTCTTTTCTTTTCTTTTCTTATTAGGTAAATGTACACTTTGCGTGTGTTGTAGACTTCACTTTTTTTTACTTTCCTTAAACCTTTTATAATCACTGAACGTCTGTACATGTATCTAATATATAATGTATTATATTTGTTTTTTTTGCACTAGAATATACCTAAATTGGATGCAGTTTTCGTCGATCATTCGTCCGTTATGAAAGGTGCTATACCAGTACAACTACCAGTAACACTGGCATGGTTGTGTTTAGTGTTCGACGTCATTATTCCGGGAGCAGGTAATATTTATTTTATCGAATGGTTTCTGGTCAAAATAATTGTAGAAGATAAAAATAATTTGTATACCTACCCTTGTAATAATATCAAAGTATGTAACTATGTAAGATATTTTGGATAGGTATTACAGCGTGGTAATAAAATGAAACGGTTCGAGTGCATTTTCACCTCCTGACATTTTTAGT